GTGTGTGTGTAGTAGTATATATATATATATATATATATATATATATATAATCAATCTTGGACAAGTGCCTACACATTTTTAGGGAGGTAGACAACAGTGAAATAATTATTTTAATTAGGTAGTATAAAAACAAAATTGTGTTACTGGCAAGGATCCATTGTCTTCCATGTGTGACATGTTGAATAGTACTGTGAGGAAATACTGGCATCTTGCCAAGGGATGAGTCTGTGATATTTTGGTTGAGTTTCAATGAACTTACTGCCATGTTTGTGATAGTGTAGTTCCTGTGTATACATAACAGGTGTGTGTTTGAAGTAAATCAGTGCATATATATATATATAATTATTTTTACAAATGAATTATAAATATACAATTATAAATATAACTTGGCACACATTTAGTAAAGAATAAAAATAAAAAAATAGTAATTTTTGTATTTAGGTAAAATTTCGAAATTTCATTTTATATTTTTTTATAATTTGTACATACTTTGTGTTTGTATTTTAAAAAATTGACTCTTTTTCACTACAAAATGTTTGTAAATATAAGGTTTGTTAATTCAAGGCAGTAATTACAAAAATCACATTTTGGGTTAGTTCATAAGTTATTACAAACTTAAAATAAGTTATTGTGTGAATTGCATTGACATAGACCTACTAATTACTTTTGTGAATTAAACTAGAAATTTCTAAAATTTAACATTTTTAGATATGACTTAAAACAAGTTGCACTAATAAATTTTTATTTTTAGATACTACCTATGTTTTAGAAAGTTATAAGACAGAACCATGTAAACGACCTCCAAGGTTATGTAGGCAAGGTTATGCGTGTCCTCAGTACCACAATAATCGGGATCGAAGAAGAACTCCAAAAAAATATACTTACCGGTAAGTCTTACTAAAAATGTTTTTCACACATGACAACAGTTTTACTGCATTCAGTACTAACTAAGTTTGTATGTAAAATGTTAGCTTCAGCATTTGCAATTAGGTACAGATTTTAAGCGTAAAAACATTGAAATAACCATGTGTAAAAATGTGAATGCAAATTTATTGCTTTATTTCACAGATAAAGTTTAAAAATAAATTTCACTGCAGCTGACTAGATTTGCTCATCTGTGGCACCCTTTTGTGGCAGATTCATGAGTTCTTCAAGTGCTAGCAGAATGACTGTTTCTTTGTTTTTCCACTCCTCCTCCATTAACTCCAGTTCTCTTTTTTTCCTTCCTCCTCACAATCCACTTTCTTGCCAGTGTCTATCAGAAACATTTTTGGATCACATTCAGAAGAATGCTGTCGAATAAATGTTTCTCCCTTCTCTGGGATTTTATTCATTTGTTTGTTTTCCAAAAAAAAAACTGCTTCCTTGATCTACCTCCTGCATTTCACCATGGAGCCTTTTCTCAGCCTTAGATGATTGTTTATTCCAGATCTTTGGTTGAACAAGGTCACTGTTTTGTATGCTTATCTTCACATCCATATGTCTCCTGCATCCTGATGTTACCCTCGGTTTGTTCATTAGGGTTGAGTTTTTCAATTCCTTGCTCTGCCATTTGGTCTGGCATCATTTCCATATGTTTTCTGTGGTGTAGTCAGCAGTTTTACCATTACATGGATGGCTGGCTTCTACCCAGCAAGCCTCTTGCAATACCCAGCTTGTTTGGGGTGGCTTGTCAAACTAGAGAAGTTACATCTCACCCCCCTTAGTATCTTATTCATATGGGGGTATTTTTCCATTCTTACCTCAGCAAGACCCAGCTTTCTCTTCTATGTTTAAGGGATATGGAGTGTTTGATATTCAAAGCCAGAATTTCTCCTCCTCTTCCTGCATGCTGCAAGGTTCTCTCTCGACCCTTGGGGTTGTACACACATGCGTTTTCTTCATTGGGTGTTGCACAATCAATGGAACCCTGCTCAGGATCCTGTGGAGACTCGTAACAAGAATAGAATAACATAATAATAGTACATGACACAATCAGCCATTGCAGAACATGCCATGTCAACTGGACACAAAATAACCAGGGAAAACTAGAATCATCAACACATAAAAATTAAAGAATCATTTTACATTAACACAATATAGCCTTCACCAAACAGAGATTCTTGATTGGAGGTGAATAACCTGTGACTACCATTGGTTGAATCTACAGGAAATCTCTTCACCAATCAGAAATGGGGATAAACCACCCAATCGTAACACGCTCTCCACAATCCACCTGAATACTATAAAGACTGACTACATCATACACGCACTGACCTGAAGACGAAAGGCAGAAGACTTTCAAAACATCATCCTCTACACTTGTGTTTCTACAATGTGTAGTTACTGTCCATTCAACTAAGTATCATCAAAATTCCCCCTCTTCTGGTCTCCAGTTCTGCATCCTTCAGCTCTGGCTTTGGATGTGTTCAGTTAGGACTGGTACAATCTTTGTATGTATACCTATACTACTATCTGTCTTCTTCCCTGCATTCTCATATGCAAACCATTCTTATCGCTCCATTCTGGCTAGCAAAACCGTGGTATCTACTATTAAATCTTCAGTCATATTATTTAAATCATTGTGCTTGGAGAAAATATCTGAAATATATGCTTGTTTAACTATTCATAAGGTAATCCACATCTTCAAAATTAGTGTCATTTAAAAATACATTTTTCTTAATATAAAAAAAAAAATCCCTTCAGCAGTATTCCTTAAGGATAACGAATTAGAAAAAAAAAGTTTTTTTCTACACTTCCTACAAATTCCTGTCTTGCGTACGACATAAGTTGTGCTTCGTTTGCAATATCTGTTGTCTCGTCTAATTGCAGTGAAAAGAAACTATTGGCCTTCACATTTTTTTCTACTTTTTCCTTCATCATTTGCCATGTCATCTATACAATGAGAAATAGTGTCATTTTAAAGTGAAATGAGATCCAAGCCTTTTGCTGCTTTGTCACGTACCCTTGTTCTTAGGTTCATCTTTGGTTCTAATCCACATAAAAACAAATTTTTGAGTAATTGGTATTGTACTTCCTGATGACTTTTCTTTTTTCATTCTGCAAAAGGCTTTTTCTAATTTACCACTTTTCCATAATAGCCCTCGTATAATACAAAGAATAATGTCACCTTTTATTTGACCAATTCAAAACTTGCTTTGGTGCAGTGATAACTGTCGCATGCCCACGTGTGCCACCCTCAAGCACATCAAATTCAAAACAGTATGACTAATAAATGTAATAAAATGTAGTAAGTGTGTTATGCATTAACAAAAAGCAGTAGTAAATTGTAATAGATGGGATGCTTAATTCAAATTAAATAATAATTATGTTTGAATAAAAAGTTTGATACATTTTTTTTTGAAATTTTGATATTTTTTTTTTTAATTTTATTTTTTCAATAATTAATGAACCTCTGATTTGCTGTATTACTTTGTTTAGGTAGTTTATAATACTTGTGGAATTTTTGTGTCCTTTTTTTTAACTCTCCATATAGTAACTAGAAGTAATTTAGGTGTGTGATGATATTATGGCTAATTTATCATTCCATATTATACAGAGAACCAACTGTTTAATAAATATTTTATTGAATTATTTTCTTTTCACTAAGATAAAATCAAAAATTTATTCTTTGATTTGCTGAACCCACTGTTGTGGACATCAGTTTCACCTATTCAAGGCTCATCAGCCCAGCTTTGGTCAGCAAACTAAAGAAATACAGTTAGGTCTCTTATTATGGTGATATGTATATAATATTTATAGGATTTATGAGTCCGTTTTAACTCGCCATATAGTAACCTAAATTAATTAAGGGTTGGTAGTTTGTTTGTTTGAATGCTCTTGTGCATGCATTTAATATTACCTGGATCTTTGTACCATAGAAGTTTTTTCATAGTAAAACTATAAATAGACCTTTTTGTATTTTTATTAAATTACCAAACTTAATTGTTTGCTTTGCACACGCTGTGTCTTCAGATTTTATTCCCATTTCAGGTCAACACCTTGTCCCAATGTTAAGCAGGCAGATGAATGGGGTGATCCAGTTAATTGTGAAAATGGAGATGATTGTCCATATTGTCATACTCGTACTGAACAACAGTTTCATCCAGATGTGAGATTCTTTGTTATGACAACCAGCTCTTTTTCATACTGCTAAATAGAGCATAGTACAAGCTAAATGATTACTATGGTTTCAGGTTATTTATAGATAAAAATTATAATGTGATACAGATCTTTTAGTAAGCCAAAACAACTGAATATTTTTTTTTCTCCCCCTTAAGTAATTTTAAATTCACTTCTCAGAATTGTGCTACATATGTTTTATTAAAGATATACTCTGGATATTATTATTATTAGTGAAAGTAAAAATTGATTTTTCATTGCAGTGATTGGGGAATGTTTTTTAAAATCTTGTATTACCTTGCTTAAATTGAAAATTGCTATAGTTATGGATACTAAACAGACAAAAATATCAAAAAAATTAACACGTTTTTCATATAAAAAAAAAGAAAAGTTTAATTATTGCTTAAAAGGAATGTTGGTGTCACTTGTGTAAATTTTTTTTTACAAATGTCTTCATTTCAGATTTATAAATCAACAAAATGTAATGATATTCAGCAGACAGGGTACTGCCCTCGTGGCCCTTTTTGTGCATTTGCTCATGTTGACAGTAAGTTGATATTAGTTTCTAAAATCACAGTTGTTGACCTCTGAAATGAGGGGATTTTTTGTTTACGTAAAACATATAAAAGATAATCATCAATTGCCTAAAAAAATTAGTTTTTTTTTTCCTTTTTTCTGTTGAACATACTGTGTAATTATTAATCCTACATAAGTATTATGCAATATAAATAAATAAACTGACTTGTGAGTGCTCTTGTGGTATATTAGTACAATGAAATTATCATAGTATTTTATTTATAACAAAACTAAACATTTCATGATACAACTCTAGAAAAAAATTGAAAGTTTATTGTTACAGGGATAAAAAATCTGTAAGTAAATGCATCATTTATTAAACTTTTTAGTTAGAGAGAATGCCTGGTTTCTGTTCAACAGAGTTTGTAATTCTATCAGACCATCATTTCAAAAATGAGAATATAAAGGGTTGCATTCAAATTTCTAAGCATTACTCCATTTTGTGAAATATAACATCTGAAACAAAACAACTGGAAACATTGTCCAATATTTTTATTATTTTTAAGTTAAATATTTTGTTTAATTTAATTAGGAAGAAATGTTATTGCTGAAAAGTTAAAAATACACATTATTATCGGGCAAGTGGTAGCACTGCATAGGTAGGGATGGCTCGGACTATTCATCGATATGGTATTTTAAATCTCTTCAATAGGTCATTGGAACTTTACAATACTATACAGTATTACCTTTTATAACAATATCTTTGTAATGACTGAGTCAAGTTCTAGGAATATCTGTAAATAACATAGCAAAAAGTTTGAATTTCTTGTTGTTCTTTTTTTTTCTATGCAATAACTCAAAAACTGAAACAATGGTGCCCATCAATTTCACTGAGGTGACACAGTTTCAAAGGGAGTATCTGCTTTATAAATATTATTAATAACTATTAGTAATTTTAAAAAACCGTATTTCTAGTACAAACTGTTATTTTTCTTACAGAAGTAATGGGTGAAACTGGAAATACCAGCCAACAGTAGATAAACAATGAATATTACAGTTAGAACCTCATTGTATTTAGAACTTGGTTATAAATACAAGCTTCCCATGTCTATTGAAACACTGCATTAAAAAAAACAACAACAAGCAAACAACTTTCAAAACAAGGAAGTAAATGTAGGGATGGCTAATATCAATCTTTCCATACAATGCAAACAAGATATTAGGATGGCATTTGTATCATCTGTACACAATAGAACAGGAAATAATTAATATGTATCTAGATATAACTATTCAATCACAACTGAGTTTAATTTGTATGTTAACATTGCACTACACTGTGTGCCCATGCTATTATGTAGGGATGATAAAAATGCCATCTTTACTATCTTGTTTGCATTGTTTTTGAAGGAATGATATTAGCCATCCATACATTTACTTCCTTTTTTGAAAAGTTTTTTCTCTAATTGTTTGTAAAAATATTAACTCACTGAAAAAATATCTAACCCATATAAAAGCCACTGTGTCACATTATGCTTTATTTCTTGAAATAGTAGGGGGTCATAAAAGCCTAAATGCATTTATCCAGATAGAATAGTTTTATTACTGTTTGCCCATTACGATTTTAGTGATTGGGGGGTGTGTAAGGGTGCTGTAAGGGTGCCGTGAAACCTTGCAAGTCTATTGAGTGTTGGTATAATAAGCCTAAAGATGTTGCATGGAATCATCTAGCTTAGAGCCAAGTGCATAAAATTTATCATGGAAGGAAAAATATTGATTCAGTTTTAAACTGAATTGAGCTATTTTACATTGTCATCAATGTTTTTAAGAGAAAAACAAACTTCTTTAATCAATGGAGACTCTAAATTAAGAAATCAACAAATATTTTTCCAGTTTTATTGTCTATACATTTTATACTTTCAGTACATTGACTAACAACAATATTTGGTTATACTTTTATTGGTAAGTGATATGACATAAAAGTCATTAATGGAACATTGTGTTACCAAAATACACTGGCTTTTCTGTACATTAAAAGTTGTTAATCTAACCGATTTTAACCAATAATTATTTTGTGAATATGCCACAAATTCATCTCGTGAACAATCATAATTTTTGTTGGCTCGCAAAGGAATTTACCAACATTTGACTGTCTTGACTGCACTTTATTGCTTCTTTGTTGGTCGAGCTAGATTTCGCAAAATTTATCTCGGTTAGCTATGAAATGTGAGGTTAGGGTATACTATGGGGTGGGGGTGGTAGTACTTACTCCACATTTTTGACGGGCTATATGCTAGTATTTTTTAAATTAGTAAAGATACTGTAATAAATGTCTTATTTTAGGCTTAAATCAAACTATTTGGTGTTGTGACTGGCATCTTTATTTAGATATTTCTTTCATGAGATAATGTAAGTATTATCCATCCTATAATAAGTGTAAAATGTAGTTTGATAAAATATTATTCATTACAGAGGAAATGTCTGCAATACGTGATATTGGTCCAGAAAATACTACTAATTTGGCAGCCATTTTGTCAAATGTTTTATCACCAAATTCAACAGCTAATTCATCCCAGCCCCAGACAACAGTAGTAAGTATTTTCAGAGATTTTATGGTTGGATGCTTAGCTTTGGTTTGAGTGTTATTTTGCTGTCAACTTTACAACAAATCTTCATATTTCATCTTAAAGTTTGATCTGTCATCTATTTAGACCATGTAAAACAACTTGCAATACACATTATTAGGCCTGTTAAGTTTTTTTTATTTATTTATTTATTTTTTTGTTGTCAATATTCCATATACAGTAAAACAAAAAACAAACAAATCTCTGTACAGTTAGTCTGTTTCATCTTTTCTTTAACACAGAAGAAAATTATCATTAACCCTATCGGCCCGGGTACCCTTTACTACGCATGACACAAGGTTTTAGTGTCTAACATTCAAAATTTTATTAAACTACTTTTTGTTTGTTATACCAATTAGAATAGCATAAAATCTTAGCTAATAATCCATATTTTAATAGTATACAAGTTTTAAGTTATTAATTCTAAAAGGAAATATATAAAAAAAATCCTGAATTTCCACTAGTGTAATACACGTGACAAATTTTGTCTTAGCGTGTTATCCCTATTTTATCCACCACCCCTCAAAAATGTAAGAAATTAATCGTAAAATGCTCTTTATAAAATTGTTATTGCTCAAACAGACCATAATTTTT